AAAAATATTTTTAACGTAAACGTAGTGCCCAACTAATTTGAGGACGATAAATTGACATGTTTAAATAAAAAAATGGTTATCATTTTATGATCTCATTAAAATCTACGAATTAAAAAATATATATTCGATATAATTATTTTTTGTTGGAATAAGAACGGAAAAAATTTATGGCATTTTTACAAACCCTGAAATGGGAACAGGATTGGTTAGACCACACAAAAGCTATCAAAAACACGATTCTAACAACGGTCAAGTCTAACAGGTTCAAGCGGTTTTTTTTTACATAAATTCATGCGATAAACTATGTTGTTATATAATGCTTTGTTCTAGCCTCATTTTACGTTATACGAATTTATTGAATCTTGTTTTTATTGGTATTTGATTGCAAGATATGAAAATATGCTTGTAAAGCTATGACACCCTTCAATTAAGTGGGAAGTCATGGAGCATTATTTTTTCTTGAATATACGTATATTTTATTGTATCTCTGCAATCAAGTACCGATTAAAAACGAAAATGCAATAAATTCCGATTGCTATAACGTATGGGCTGTCTATTCCAAAACGTCCATCAACACGAATAAATTGAACTACCACGGAATATCTGGTCTTTTTTACCTAAATAATAGTTGATATGTGAGTACTGATCGATGATGGCTATTTTGCAACATTGTTCTTTATTTCACGGAGCATATGCTTACATGAATCATCACATGTTTCAAGCCAATTAGCTTTACTGCTACTGTATATATTTTTCATTATTTACCAATGTGTATACGACTAATTTCAGTATTAGCAGTGTCGACGACTTTTTTACTCGGCGGTTACATTCTTTGAAAATGTTGGGACTGACACGGTCTTAAAGAAAATTTGAGAACGCAAATAGAAAATTTAAATATCTGTAGACATATTTAAGATTGTTTTGCCCTGATGATGTCCTTAATATAGGTCAAAAGCATGGCAGTAACTGATTTTGCTCTCTTCTTCAAGACCATACGTTGATTCAGTGTTCGTTAGTGAAAAAGTGGTCGATATTTGTAACACTGATATATTTTTGGACATGGTTTTCTTAGAACAGAACTGAAATTAGAATTTGTAAATTATTTTTATGTGGGATATGTATTTTATATGGGATATTTTTGAAAAGTATAAATGTGATTTTTACATTCCTGCTTGTCAAAATTGACAGTTTACTCTCTTTTAAAACAACAGTGCAACTGGTTTCATCATATTTCTAATATTAAAACTAAATGGTAATTTTTCTCCCTTCGAATCCTTTACCGACGTGACATTCTCATTTCTAAACGGCCGCCTGCCCCTCGGATGGATATATAAATTGAAAGAGAAACGAGGGACCCGAAGGTGTTAGGCCGGGCCAGAAATATTTTAGGGAGGCCAATCCACCTGTCAGTTTTTACAAGTTGGGTGGGCGCTGATGGAGAGAGAGAAAAAGGGAGATTGAGAGGGAGAGGGAGCGATGGGCCGAGCACCACGGTAGTCCGTCTATAAAATTAGCGAGGAGTCGACAAGACGTTATAAAGGAAAAGGACCTCCTAAGAGAGAGAGACGGGCATAAAAGGAAAGTGAGAAGGCAAACTGTCGGCAAAGATCAAAGGATCCCACCGCTATACGAGGAGGGCCCCTAAATAGCAATCATAATGCTATTACAGCTATAGTGTATCGGATCGTGCTGCTCTCTGCACCTTCAGACCTTTACAACAATCCCTATCCAGACAACAAATATTTTATTTCCATTTAACCATTATACTTTTGAACTTTTTGGCTCAACCAACAATCTTACCTTGATTATAATAACCTGTCGTGCAAAATTTTAACAGGTAGATTAGAATACTAAGTGTTTTCATAGTCTTTTGCATACCGTTTATTGCTTTAAAAAGCAGCAAAATCGCTGTCTCGCAAATTAACTCTTTAAAATTATGGAAATCGAGTACGTTTGTATTTTTTGGCTCACATCCCCTCATAAAGCAAAAAAAAAAATTCATAACTTATGATATAAGATGTATACTTATACGGACGTACAATGTGCTTAACAGATGTTTCATCACTGCTGATCATTTCTTTCTTTTCACATGTCATTCATCTATGATCCAACAGCTTTTTACTGTTGAAGAGGGTAAAAAAACTTGTAAAATCAGACAAGGTAGAACGGTGGTCTCGAATGATTCAACTTTCTAATTATACTTGATGTTTTACATTTGCCTTAAATTCAATACAAATGCCATTGGCCGGCAAGAACTCGTGCAAAATCAGGGTAATAAGCAGGGTGAGGCAAATCGTTCTTTTTCAAAGCACAGATGCATTAATTAATTTATTCGTGTCATATTACATTTGAAAATGGAAGTAGATAACCTAGTGACTTGAAATAGTTCAACTGGACTATCTAAATTATACATGCGTACATGATTAACATTAGTGTATAAATAGAAAAAAATTAACTATTTCAAACTGACCTATCTACATATGTGTTCAGGTAATATGCCTCTGCTCTCAACTATTTCGTCGATTATTTAGAGGGTTCATTTTTTTAAACTTGTAATTTTTTAGGTTTTTTAGTAGTTTTGCCTTGCTTATAAAATTGATTTTGTGAAATAGTTGTTCTGAAATCAATTTCGTTTAAAATGATTTTTTTAAGAAGATTCCCGAATAATTACGATATATTAATGTACTTCTTTATTAAATATTCTCTTCCTTCCTCTCCTCTCTCTCTCTCTCCTCTCTCTCTCTCTCCCCCATCTACCTATGTATACACATTACTATTTTGCCTTTTTTTCTTTGGTCTCACACACGCTCTTTAACTCGCTTTACTATCTTTTATTTCTGTTTCTTTATTATTCTTCCCTTATTTTGTACTCTTTTCTCTCTCTCTCTCTCTCTCTCTCTCTCTCTCTCTCTCTCTCTCTCTCTCTCTCTCTCTCTCTATCTATCTATCTATCTATCTCTATCTATCTGTCTATCTATCTATCTCTATCTCTCTCTCTCTATCTATCTATCTATCTATCTATCTCTATCTATCTGTCTATCTATCTATCTCTATCTCTATCTCTATCTTTTATCTCTATCTCTATCTATCTATCTATCTATCTATCTATCTATCTATCTATCTATCTATCTATCTATCTATCTATCCATCTATCTATCTATCCATCTATCTATCTATCTATCCATCTATCACACTGACTCAGTTTTTTTACTAAATAGTTTGACTCATACTTCTCTGAAAAAAAGAAAATATTTATCCATGAATATATTTTATTATTTGATATCTCTGTTATCTTTCATCTATATCTTTTATGTTCTTCCTTGAACTATTCATTTTCTCTCTTACTACTTACTTATTTAATGGTTACTTCTGCATATGTTAGTCGTTAAATTTTTCGACTAATTCTATTAAATAAGTGTGTGGTGATTAGTGACCATTAGTCGATAATTATTCTGAATAATTATTTTTTAAATAATTTGAAACATACGTCACTGAAAGAAAGCAAGCAGTGGTTGAGGCAAATGGAAACCTTGGGAATGCGAGAAGTACCTAAGGGATCTGTATAATATCTACTTTTATTTTCAATCTATGTAGGAATATATAGATATAATATCTGATTCTGTAAATTATTTTAAATATTTGATGTATGCAACTCTGTAATGTAGATAACCTCTAAATTTTACCTCCATGTACTTAAAAATGTAAGTTAGAGGATAGTAAAGTGAATTTGGATGTATTTGTATCTGGGCTGATGGTAATAATTTATCTTTTAATGGACAAAAAATGAAGGCAATCCTTGAATATTCATAACTATTCAGAGATCGTGAGATGCGCTCTAGTGTGATGTAGGTTTCAGAAAAACATTTTCTTTATCGTGCCAACATTTCAATCTTTATTGAGCCCTGAAGATGATCTCAATAAAAATCGAAACGTTGGCACGATAAAGAAAATGTTTTTCTAAAACCTACATCACACCAGACCGCATCTCACGATTTCTGAATAATTATCGATTAACGGTCACTAATCACCACACAATATTCATAACATTAATTTTGTTTCACTAAGTAAAATGAAAGTGCTAGATGTACTACTTTCATAGAGCCGACAAGTGAGTGAAATTCTAAAGAAAATGCATAGATGCTTATGTTTTCACAATATTTTGTCATTTGAACTAAATAGAAAGTTGGTTTCTTTGTTTGTAATCCCTAATTGGACAACTGTTGTCTTGTCTTTCTTATCATGGAGTTTGAAACAGCAAGAGGTGGGAAAAACTAAAAGAAAAGAAAATACATATTTAAAATAAAAATTTTGAATTAATATAAACTGTTGAACCTGTTCCCAATCAGATTCCCTGTATTTTTCCTTCATTTTCATTCATTCTTATTCATAATAATTATTTGACTTAAGACACAAAAGTAATGTTTATTTACAAATATGATTTTAACTTCATGGGTTAAGTTGTTTAAGTTTGTAATGTAAGTTGATTTTTAATGGTCTTCATTGAAAGAGATTACTTAATCTCTTAAAAAATAACTGTAAAAATCGAATCAATGGCTTGATCTAAACGAAATGGTGGCAGTTCTTAAAAAAATAATAATGGTGCGACAGCTTATACTGTAATGTAGTTTTTTCAGGCTGAAGTTTTTGCTTTCGGCGTCGGCTAATTCAGTTGTTATCCCTATATTTCTGCCACTACCCACTCAAGCGCAATCTTACCTAAACTTTCCAGGCGAGAACAATCGGATCCGGGAGGGCGGAGGGCAACAAAAAATCCCAGAAGTTATCTCCATTGACAGACCTCAAAGAACCCCGGTCTCGGGACACGGGTCAAAACGATCTTTTCTATTCAATGGAGGTCTTCCTGCCGACAATCAACTTACAAACGGTAGAAGGGAGGAAAAAAGTAGAATCCGGAAAAATAATAAACCAATAAAGGAAGGGTAAAGTCCTCTTATCTCTACCTGCATCGTTTAATATTTACACAAAGAAAAACAAACTTGTACGTTATTGAGGTGTACTTTGGATTGTGGAATGTTTGTGGATATTACAGTTTTTTACGTGAAATTGGAGTTCTGCATTTTTCTTTTTTTGGGCCCTTGGGTTTCCTCTTTTGCTTTTTCTTATGGCTATTTAGCTCCTCGACTTTATCCGTTTTCTGTTGGTCGTCTTGACCTCCCGCCGCTTTCTTCAAGTACGACTGAAAATTCTTTACCGTTTCAAGTTTGGCGGCATCAACTTTAAGGGTGGCCGGCTCCGTTGTGCTATCTTGAAGCTTAATAGAGGGCTCGATACAACTCTCCTTTTTTTCTAGGAGCAGCGATGATAACAGACGATCTAAAATCAAAATTTTTACAGATTAAACGCAACCAACTTTCAACAATATAACGTAACTGCCCAGTTTTGTTCTTTAATTATTACTACAAGGAGGTTGCGTTTTGATTAATACAACGAATGAAAAGGGCAGGGCTAACTATTTTAGAAAGTCTTCAAATCGACAGATAACCAGTAATCGAGATTGCGTTAAAAAACTTTAAATTTATACTTTTAAAATATCAATACCTATCTTTTCCTTGGAATTTTGCATCTTGATGAAGAAGCCATGGGCTTCTGAATTAGTCGTTCAACGCTAAAACCGCATCTCAGTGTTGTTATTGTTGTTGTTTTCTTTTTCTTTGTTTGTCAAATATTGTTAAAAATGTAAGCTTTCAGGCATGAACGAGTCGTTGTGTCACATGACAAACCACATGTCTCTGAAAACTTCGCTTTTTATAATAGAAAAACTATATTCTTTAAATATGACTTATGAATTTAATTCAAGTTTACCATATAAATATAGGTATTTTATTAGTAAGCAAGAAAAATTAAAATTTCTTTCTCTCGATCAACAGAGTTTTTTTCAATATATTTATATTAATGTTGCTCGTGGGACGATGGGCTTGCAGCGGGTCACCATTGAAATGTTTTTACGGCCTGGAATGAACGGCCACTTCATTGTCGTAGAAAGCACTTAAGTGCATCGCCCCCATTCAAGAGAAACGCATTAACGCAGTGAAGTAACCTTTTGATATTTATTTACTGTGCTACATAAACGGCGTTTATCCGAAATTTATTCGGATTTGATCCATATGTAATTTTGTCTGCGTTTTAAGCTGAACCAGGGAAATTCTTTATTTCATGACACCCTCGTTTTTTGATTATTTTTCCGTATGAAACAAAGAAAAATCAAAAAGGAGAGGGGACTTGGTTTGGATAAGGATTAAGAATGGGAGATAAAAAAATAATTCAAAAACTCGGGAACGAATGTGGATGAACAATTCAGTGGAGAAGAACCTAAAATGTAGAAGAGACTCTTACAGAGTTACATATCAGGATACATAGTACAATGTCAGGAAAGGAAAGAGAGGAAGAGAGAGATAGATAGATAGATAGAGATAGAGAGAGGGAGAGAGAGAGAGAGAGAGAGAGAGAGAGAGAGAGGAAGAGATAGAGAGAAAAGAGTACAAAATAAGGGAAGAATAATAAAGAAACAGAAATAAAAGATAGTAAAGAGAGTGAAAGATCGTGTATGAGACCGAAGAAAAAAAGTGCAAAAATAGTAATGTGTATACATAGGTAGATTGAGAGAGAGAGAGAGAGAGAGAGAGAGAGAGAGAGAGAGAGAGAGAGAGAGAGAGAGAGAGAAAAGGGTACAAAATAAGGGAAGAATAATAAAGAAACAGAAATAAAAGATAGTAAAGCGAGTGAAAGAGCGTGTGTGAGACCGAAGAAAAAAAGTGCAAAATAGTAATGTGTATACATAGGTAGATTGAGAGAGAGAGAGAGAGAGAGAGAGAGAGAGAGAGAGAGAGAGAGAGAGAGAGAGAGAGAGAGAGAGAGAGAGAGACAGTGGCGAGAGAGATTAACAGACATATCGACATAAAAACAGAAATAATAACAATAGGATCCTATATATAAAATTCAATAGGAATTTAAATATCATAAGAAGCTACACAAAAGCCTAGGGCTTGGATATCCGCCACGGAAAAATAAAATTCTTTTTTTATTTTAATTACACATGTTCGTAATTATGCTTAAATAAAGCAACCAGCAAGACAGGTTAATGAGATAAGTAGAGTGTGTTCGGGTTTGTAATATTAATTCAGAATTTTGGAAATGGTCCAAGTGGTATTTGGGTAAGCTTAAATTTTATTCAGCATTTTGAACATCTTGTTGATTTTTATGTATATATAATAGTATTAAAATCGATTTTCTAAAAAAGTACGTGTTTGTGCAGTTCAACTGAGGGCAATTAAATAAATTTCACATTAATAACTGGCATTTATTATTGTATAGCCTTTGCAGTCAATTGTTCGGTGTCTGTGAATAAGTTGTTGAAAGGAGAGGATAACAAAGAGGACATACGGTGTGTCCATGTGACGACAACGTTTGTACAGGGAAGGCATGAAAAAGCAATTTAAAAAGGAACATAAACTACGACAAGGATCGCAAGCATTGACCACCCATGGACGTGCCTTTTCTCACCTCTCCCTACCAAAGGGCGAAACGGGCGGCTCCCCTTTCACGACCCTGGTATTCTTTCGCTCCATATTAACCACCCAGGTGGCACAAACCATCCTTGACTAACCGAGAAGAGGCGGGACAATCACCGCTTGATGAACTCAGATCCATTCGGCCTGAGGCCAGGTGGTTTTTTGAATATTTGAACCCAGTGGAATTTATTATGTGGAAAATTTCACGCCTCCCGTTCCGAAATGTCGCTCCCATCTGCGCGGACATTGTTGCCGATTAGGATCGATTGGTTTATAATGGCCCGTGGACCAATCCGCTCGGAATGGCCCCTGTGCCACGGTAGCGCCATCGGCTGTCTTCAAAGTGGACAAAAGACCAATCGTTGAAAGCCTTTTTCGCTTTATATAAAAGAAACCTTTGTCAATATTGATTCCAAGAGCATAGAAACGTTCAAAAGTTTAACAGAAAATATATTAACCATTTTTCAGCCATGATTAAACGAACTAGATTTATAACAAACACAAACGAAAAATGCAGCCTGGTTAATCAATTTAATCATCCTACAAAAACTGTTCTGTAAAATTTATCAAGTTTGATCGTCCATTGCCTTCCTGGTTCACCAATTCTCGCTGTATGATTCTTCTGATCGATTTCAAATCGCCATATTTATACTGCTCAAAATCTTCGTGAGGTATGCGGGATGGTGAACCTGTAGTTTGGTCTTTTCCATTCTATTCGGTCTGCCGTTACCCGCTGATTTGGCTGATCACATAGATATGGCAACGTTCTGACATATTAGTCCCAATAAAATTATTATTTTTGTGCACCTATTATCTATTTTTGTTTATTTTATATATATTACCTTTTGTTTATTAATAGCACTTTTAAAACCTGAAATGAGCAGTCTTTTTGAAACTATTGTAAATGATTATATCCGTACTTAAAAACCAACACCATTAAGTGATGGGTGGTATTCCATTAAATGGAGGAGACTTGAGTTCGGATCTGTTGTAGAAGTTTCAACCGGTCCTGAATGGTGATTATTTTAGTTAAATTCGTGCCGTTGGGCTACAATTAAATAGGAGTTTTGTCCTTTTTAAAACCCCGTCAGTGTTAGACCGGATCATTTAGTGGATAGGTACTGTACCTTTGGTAATTACGTAGCGGTGCGCACCACCCAGTGGCCACCCGCAAAGTGGGCTAACCCGATCTAGAAACTTGTTACCGGTCGTCACGTTAACCGCTTCTTATCTCAGCTTAGTGGAAAATAAAGCCGTTGTAAGTAAAAATTATATCCCGATTGTACACGGTGGGTCTCAATAAAGCATGACTGTTCGGTTTTAATTAATTAGACATAAATGCAAAACAAAATATATTTCAAAACTGTAAAGGCCTAAATTGCTTTTATCCGTGTAAAAATATAAACAATTAACATCACAAAAGCTCTCGTTGTTTTCTTTGATTGCTTCAGACCTGGTTAAAAAATAACACTAATTAATTCAAATATATGTATTGCAATATTAATCTTACTAAATTAAGCGTGAAAATTATTAAAAGTTCTTTTTCGCTCTGATAATTTTTGAAAATATTTCGTCAGTTTGATCGTTATCCTGATCAACCAAGGATTCCACCATCAGACTTTAATAAAAATCTTTAAACACGACGATGTACTCAAATACATAATATATTCATGATTTATAACTGCCTTTTCTGAATTCGGTTTTGACGTCAGAAAACATACAAAGAACATTGATAATGATTCCAACACATAAACAACAAATCTATACGTATATTGTCAATTTAATTAATTTATAAAAAATATTATCCAGCCAACCAATAATTGAAAATTAAGAAATTAAACCTATCTAAATACATTACGCAATTGCATTGATAAAATGATATCAACAATAACAAAGCGATCATTTCTTTTCATTTTGAATCAAGGAAGACACGAAAACACGCAATCAAGCATGATAGTGACGGCAAAATATTGTAATAACCTTTGTAACAAAAAATTAAATGCGATAATATTACAATTGTATTAAAGACAAATCTAGTCAAAAAATTGTTACGTAAATAAATTACAGTGTAAAAATTAATTTACTGAACAAAATATTAATATATATTTAGATTGCTAGAAGAGAAAAATTGAAAACCACAGAGAATGAGAGTGAGAGAGAGAGACAAACAGATAGACAGAGATAAAGATGGAAAGAGGTAGAGAGAGCGATAGAGAAAGAGTAAGAAAGGGAGAAAGTAATAAAGAGAGAAAAGAAAAATGTGAGGGGGAACGAACTAGTTCGAGAGAGGGATAGATGAAAGATGGAAAATAGATTTAGAGGAGAGGGTCAGAGAGAGAGAAAGAGAGTAAGAAAGAGAGAGAGAGATACAGAGAGAAAGCAAGAGAGAGAGAGAGAGAGAGAGAGAGAGAGAGAGAGAGAGAGANCTTTAATATTCAGCACATATAACTATTGCTAGTTTATGTATGAACATTGTGAATATTGGTAATATAAAGGGCGAGAGCGAGAATGTAAGACAGAGGTAAGAGAGAGAGAGAGAGAGAGAGAGAGAGAGAGAGAGAGAGAGAGAGAGAGAGAGAGAGAGAGAGAGAGAGAGAGAGGATTAAAGAGAATAAAAGAGGGAGTAGGAACGAACTAATTCGAGAGGGGGAGAAAGGTGAAAAGTGAAAAAGAGATTAAGAAAGAGTGAATGTGAGAGAGAAAATGAAAGAATCAGAGAGAGAGAGAGAGAGAGAGAGAGAGAGAGAGAGAAGGAAAAAAATATTTTAGAGAGAGAGAGAGAGAGAGAGAGAGAGAGAGAGAGATTAGTTTAAGGATGAACAAAACAGGATATCAAAGTAAACATATAATCGTATTAATGGATCTATTACAATTAAATACAGTTACCTAGATATATCTAGCAGGAGAGATAAAGGAGAAAAGAGAGAAAGAAAGATCGAAAGAGGGGCGAAAATAGAAAGGAATGATGAATAAATATATAGAGAGTAACAAAATAGAGAAAGAAAGGCAGATATTAGAAAAGTATACTTAATTTTGGAAAACAGGATCTTTCCACCCCCACAAAGGAAGAAAGAAACGGACCTCACAGAAAGGCAGGTGCCCTTTTGAATAGGTCATTAGCAGTATTGTACTAAGTGGAATTGAAGTAAGAAAGAGAGACATCGTAGGAATGATAGAGCGTGGATAACACGTCCATTCTGTCCGTAAACCCATCCGAGTCATCCATCCTAATGGCATCGGG